TTCATATCGATATAGTGGGTTCTTTACGGCGTTGTAATGGCTTTATTCAACTATTTACATACATAGAAAGATTCATTAGTTTTCAAATAACCATCCCATTAACTGACATTAGCTGCACTGCTAATCATTCTCAGGCCGATGGGACGGTAGCAAGTAGTATATAACGATTTATCTCTAAACATTCAAGCGAGAACTAGAAATCGAAAACACCACTTTATTAAGGATGAGTAACGAAGTGATGAATGATATTCAGCTGAAGCAAGTGATAAAAACAGGCTACGCCTGTAGAACTTATCATTTCTCTTTACGTATTCCTTGGTAGGAAAAATTATTGAGAATGTTGGATGGGCACTTACTATATAGTTCAAACAGTGAACTCTCAAAATAGTGACGAATCCCGAAAACTGTCGAGGCGAATCTCAGTATTTCGGTAAGTGACCCACTTAGTTTATCATACCTCTAATTCTGTGAAATGTTCTGTAGGATTTAATGTATCTGCGGATATCATACTAAAACTGTAAACGCGATACTAGCAACCCCATAGTCGATGTGAAATAGCAGATGTCGTGATGTGACCACTTAATAAATATGGTCCTACGTAGAAATCAAATAATAATAATAATAAAATAGTAGTCTACACTGACTCGTTCTACTGTGAAACAAGTAGTATAATGTTAAGCCTCTGAAAAACACATTTTGGCAGGGCATATAATGTTATGAATTTATGTCCGGCTTGTTATCACTTGATCTATCTACCAATCGGAATACGATTTGTTTAATCTTAGTACTGCACCATATCAATGACGTTCGATCAGTATTACCAGTTTGCGTCTTTATTGGCTTTTTTACGCCTAGCCCTTCCAATTGAGTCCAAAACACCAATTACAGCTTCTGCTATGCAAGTCATGTATTTCAAGCATACTCAGTTTATATACCAGACAGACAGACCGCATCACACCATAGATTAGAAAATAATATTTGTACTAGATCAAGCCAGATGTTGCTGTAAAAGTGGGAGACAGTAATCAATAATCTGAATATAATTTAGGAACAGTAAATCGCATAATAATAATCCATGGATTAAAATGAAGCTTGTAATAAGATGAATATAGATGCACAGAATGTAATTACTCAATATTTATACAATAAGAATATATATACATACATAGAACAATAGTCCATTAACAGGTCCCAGAAGTTACCCGTAATTTCATTATCACTGGGATATAACACATTATAATATATTTAATGTAGAAATGAGTTATACGGAATGACTCCAAGGCTGAGCCATAACATACCAAACAACTGTTCCCGTGTTCTTCATTTTTACCCTCTCTAAATGTCACATGTTGAGTGTAAATCCTTTCAGCAATTATATACTTTGTTATAAAGACCCCTAGCTTAACAAACAATACCACTACAAATTTCTCAGCGTTAGGTTTCTTCACTCTCCCGCGGCAAAAATAACTTTCGAGTGACAGATTGCCAGTGTACCTTGGGAATACACTTTCAATTCTATTTTATAAACTTTAAGAATATTAAGTACTGCTACTGTTTTCAGTAGTTCCCTGCTTTTAAGGGACGTAATATGACTAACGTCTTTACTCCAAATATTAACTTTTTTTGTTTCACCAAACGATCTACAGACTATAGGCTATGCTCCTGAATATTCTGTTTCGCGTTGATATGAGGTTCGGTGGCCGAAAAGGTCAATTCAAAATTCTTGCCAAAAACGCAGAACCTGATTTATTATTACTATTCTATTATTAATATTTTATTTTTCCTTCCTTTCTCAAACATGGCAAATGTAATGCTAACATTATTGAAAATTGTGTATTATTGCATTTTTGAAGAAACCCGAAATGGTTTCTTCACAGCACTTATGTACCCATAAGATGTTTGTGAATAATAATAACAATATATTTTAAATCTCTCTGCAATTTATTTTCTCTTTGCATGCTTTTTGTTTTTCCACAGAGCATTGCCTACATCTGCGTGTTAACCACAACCTACGTTATGGGTGATCATTGTCGTGATTTCATTCAGATCTAAAGCTGGACACACGAAAAAGTACACTGTTTCTCGGGTTCTGACAGCTGTCGATCTGCCACCGGTTTTTTACCCGTAGGAGACTTTCTAGCTGCGTTTAACAACCAAATCGCTTCAAGAATCACGTGTGTCTTTGTAACACCGTGCTTTACAAGGCCAACGTGACGATGGATTGCATTAAATTTTAAATGTAGACGATGTGAACTCCTTGAACAGGCAATGATATCACATTTGGCAGTTGTTATATTGCGTTCCATCCTCTGTAGGAACGGATTATGTGTATACATTTCGACGATGTTTTATTTGTATCATCATGATTGCTAGGTGGACTATCAAAGAAGACAGTAAAAAGTTTCTTTAAACACGAACACAGTCATGAAAAAGAAGGAAACAATGAAATCAGTTTTTAAAATAACTGTTTCAAAAACTCTCAAAGCGACACACTGAGAAAAAAAGGCTTCAAATTCTATATTACTTTAACTGAAAATTTATCTTGAATAGATATACAAGAAGCTCTTACACTTTAGGATAAGTAAGTTTAATCCATCGTAGGAATTCCGTATGATATTGATGGCGTAGTGTCGAAGAAGCCTCCATAGTGTTGTCCTGTCCACGCTATCAAATTCCTTCTCCTAGTCGAAGAAGTTGATTTAGATTGATGAATTCCATTCAATTGATTGTTCCACAATAATCCGTAGTGTTGTGATTTGGGCTGTAAACGATCGGTCTTTAGGGAATCCAGCCTGCTGATATTGAAGTCGAGCGTCTACGGAGTCCTTCATTCGGTTTAACAACACCCTGTTGAAGACTTTCCCTGGTATTGAGAGAAGAGTGATACCCCTGTAGTTATCATACTTGTTGAGATCGCCTTTCATTAGTATTTTGATCAGAATTCCTTTTTTCCAGTCTGTTGGTACTTGTTCATTATCCCAAATATTACTGAAGAGAATGTGGAGTTTCTTTTCATTTGCTGCTACATCTGGAATGTTGTCTGATTCCTCTGCTTTGCCACTCTTGATTCGCCTGATGGCCATGTTTCAATTGTTGGTGGGCCAACATCAATTGGGAGGTCCGTGGATGCTACTTCGATGTTGGATGGGTTTAGTGAAGCTGTTCGATTCAAGATTTGTTTGAAGTGTTCTTCACACCTGTTTCTTTGTTCTTTAATGTTGGTGATTACCTTGTGTTTCACTGATCGTTATGGTTTGTGGTAATTTCCAGCGAGTTTCTTTGTTGTATCATACAACTGTTTGATGTTTACTTCCCTTGCAGCTCTTTCCGCCGTCATTGCTAAATCCTCCAAATATTTACGTTTGTCGGTTTTGATGCTCCTCTTCACTTGCTTGTTTACTTCTGTGTATTCAGCTTGACCCTTGGCCTTCTCTGTTCTTGTTTGGCTGATATTGGTTGCTGCCTTCTTGTCCCTCATTTTTTGAATTTTATCCAGTGTATCAAGAGTGATCCATTCCTTGTGATGATGCTTCTTGAGGCGCATAGCATTGGATGACGTTCATTAAGATGCCCTCCTTTGTTTTGAAGGGGTTTTGACGATCCTTAGTCCTTGAGATTTCCATTCTACAAGTGCATTTCGTGCTTCTCTGAACAGAATTAGAACAACTCCCTGTAAGTGGAGCATTTTCCTCCTCGTGACCGGAGTACAGCAGCATCTCTCCCGTATCTAGTCTTTGCTGTACAGCTTGTGTCCAATGAGTTTCGCTGATCGCGAGTGCTACCAATTTGTTTCTTCTCATTTTCATTGCTATTTGACTGGTCTTCCTGGTCTCATACATTGTCCGGACGTTCCAATGTTGCTCTGGTTGTTGGAAAAAGCATCGACCTCGTGACTTCCGAAGGAACTCGGCTTTCACATAGTTCATTGAACTCCCAGGGCAGAGTTTAAATGGTTTGAATAAATTTTCTTGGTTAGTGTTTTTTGAGCGAGTTTGTTTTGAACGTAATTGGGTAGCTAAACCGACTGTTAAACTCGACTGTATTTCGTAACTGTGGCAGTCTACTTAGCGAAAAATCACAATGAAGAGGGAGTTATCACGCTAAACTAAGCAGGTGCCATGATAATTTAATCGTTTGCACAGATATGTTATTCAATGTATTTAAATGTAGATATTTAAGCCAATAGACCCAAAACATGAACTATATACAAGTAAGATATGCCTAACAGGAGACAAACGATATTGTTTTGAGACTGAAGACAACAGTCGTGTTTAAAACACAACAAACCCTTCTCCAGCCACATTATTTATTGACGGTCTACTTGAAAGAAAATCAACGATGTTATTAAACTTACTACGACTTAAGATATTGAAGATACGACCAGTATTCTAGTTTTGCAACTATAAACCCCTAACACCTTCTATATTCAAATCGTCCCCAAATTAGATTAAACCAGATGTTACATGCGAAGATGTAGGGAAGATATATTTGATGCTTTATCAATATATCGAGAATCGTTTGTTCTAGTCTGGCTAGTGAACGTAGGAGCTGCGTCCCACGCTGGTGCGAACGCATGACCGAACACCCTCAGTTAGACAAGTCCACTTAAAACAATGTTGTCAGCATCCAATGTCGAATACTTAAAGAGCTATTGATTTTGGGGAATTATTTACAGCTACAACATCATCTCAGCATGTAATGCATGTCCGGCATGAGGCAGTCGAGCGTAACAAATAAAAATTAAAGTCGGAGCGAAATTCAGAGCATAATCTAGTTTCTTTTTAATAAAAATAAATAAATAATAAATTAGATGACTACATTAACGTAAATCTGACCATTATTTTAGCTTGTTTTACCTTAGAGTGATACCATAATATGGAATTTAGAACGACTCTATGTTTTCTAATCTTGTCTGGCTATCATATTTTGAATTAGATTTCACCAATTCTTCTTTTGTTCCTTATGTTATCCTCCTCTGTTTCCGCTTTTGAATAGCGCGGCTCAGGCATACATTGTAATATATCAAAAAACGCACTCAAACGAAATTTAAGACGTTTTGTGTTTCATAAACAACTGAAAAATAAATTTAATACCAACTTTATTAAGTGAAACTTGAGTATGTTTTGCTGTGTCTTATATTAGGTCAGCTACAGCACGTTCGTAGTGTTGAATTCCAGGTTGTGAACGTATGTTATCAATGTATATCCTAGCCTTATTCTTGCAAATGGCAAATGGGAGTTTTACTTAATTTGAGATCATTATGCAACCAGTAGTAGTGATATATGTAATAATCAATAGATATGAAGCGCGTTGAGCAAAATTACTCATGTACTAGATTTCACAACATATAATGTAGTTCCTCTTACTGTCTACTTATTTGCCATAAAATTTCATCCCATCCAGGTAAGACGTTTGAGGTTTCTGATTTGTGAAAGCTAGGAAATCATGGTCGAATTATTCTGAAATAGGAATTTAGGCCATAAACTGGGTAGCTTTATCGTCTGTCCTTGTCATATCGAAGGTATTTAGAAAAAGTTTTTTTTAAAGTCCTCAGCACTTCATGTTTTTCAGATATATATCAGAATGTCCCAGGCAATTAAGTTTTAAACGGTCTTTTCACAACAAAACGCGTTTTTGTCTGTCAGGCCTTCACTGGTGCCAAAAATTGAACTGTTTATTTTCCTATTCCAATAATCGAAACCTAAAAAATGATACCAAAGCTTTCGTAGAAGTAACCTAATAAATTACACTAATAGTTTTTTTGAGGTTGCAGGTCAGTCTTCAGCAATAAGGATAGTAGGTTTTTGAACCTGTGTTAATCCTGATAGATTGCATCCCAATGAAGGTCCAGGGTCTCCTCGAAAATGTTCAATGATGGGGCTGATACCATTTGTTCGAGTAAGGCGTTCCAGTCGCTGAACACGATCAAAAATCGTCCCTGCCTTTACTTTATTAGATCGCGGTTTGTGAACCTTCTTGCTATGACCTCAGAGATTATTAGTGCTGGAGGGAGCAAAAAGATAAGACATATTAACATCCAAATCATAATTAAAGATACGAAATGTTAGTATAAGGTCAACTCGCGTCCTACAATAAGACAAGGGGAAAACGTTTGAGGTTTTTAAACGCTCATCGTAAGGGAGTTTGGAAACACCTTTCACTAATTTCGTTCCCACACTCTGGACACGCTTAAGTGAGTTAGTATTCTGTATCAGACATGGGCGAGCTGCTTGGATACAGTACTTCAAGTGTGGTCTCACGTAGGTGGATTATAAAATTCGAAACATCTCGTCAAAGCATTTGAATGCTCGGCAAAGTGACCATAACGCACGATAACCTTTGGGAGCAGCTGTGTTGCAGTGCGTAGTTGTTTTCAAGTCGTGACTTATTATTACTCCTAAGTCTTTATGTTCGTTAACGAGCGGAAGAGATGTACTACCAATTGTATAATGGTAACTCTTGCCGTGTCCGATGTGCATAGGCACGTTCTTCCTGGAATTAACTTCTAAGCCCGAACCACGAGCCCATCTAAGTAAGTCGTCTAAGTCAGCTTGGAGATGAAAACGATCAGCCTCACTTATTGTTCTCCGGATTTGGACATCATCCGCAAATAACAATATCGATGACTCAAGCAATAGCGGTAATTCATTAATACAGAGAAGGAAAAGTAGAGGGCCTGAGATGGTGCCTTGGGGTACACCACTTCCGACAGTTTTCCACTCAGGTAGCCTTCCACTGACCCTCACTCTCCATCTGCAGTAACATAAGAAGTTTCCTATCCATTTCTGTATAACACCCGTTATTCCAAAGCTCGAGAGCTTCTGCATAAGACCTGGGTGTGAAACCTTGTCAAACAGTGCTAAAATCTATGAATATCACGTCGACAGACAGGCTGTTGTCCAATCCTCTCTCGCAATAAGTAAGTTAGTGAAGCATGAACGCTTGTTACGAAACCCATGTTGTCCGTGAATTAACAGATTATACGAATCTTAACGACCATGCTAGTTAGGCTGACAGGCCGGTAGTTAGATACGATCCGTCTACTGTGTCCCGATAACAATAGTGAATGGTAACTTTGCGATCCATTTATGGATCAGTATTATGCATATATTTATTGTCGTATAATTGCTATATAACTAAACTATTCGTACTCATGTTTCCCTTATTATAAGCTTTATTTTAACCTGTAAATTATTATTGTACGATTTACCATTCTTTAGTTATGCTTAATCTATTAATTGCTGCCTCCCACATTCACAGCCACATTTAGCTAAATCTTGTACAAATGTTATTTCCTATTTCATTCACTTAATGATTCCTGTCCCATTGACAAGAATAAGTCCCAAAAGTGTTTCCTACGCTTCAACAACTTCCGGGTTTCCTTATTAATCCATGGAGGGCAATGTGATATCTTACGTGTTGACCATAGGATAAACAGTTGCGTTATGGACTCGCATCTAGCCTCAAACTTATTCCATTCGTCTTCGATCGATCCATCAGCATCGACCGACCAGTCAATCGAGATAGCACATTTTCTGATTGCCGGAATATTAGCTCTCCAGACACTGGGACGGGGTGGAACAGATGCAAATTCTATACCATGTGTCCGAAAGTTGAAGGAAAGTACAATTCACTAGTGGGGGAAGGTGTTAAATATCGACGACATCTTCACAGTTGTATGTGAGGGCAAGGTCTAGCAATGACGGATCATGTTCCAAGTCAGTATGTGTCGATTTTTACGATACATTGTACAAGTTCGCACTGAATAATTGTTGATAGAAGGTCGCTATCGAAACCCTCACCTATCCAGTTTATATGTGGTGCACTGAAGTCTCCAATGATGAGACAACATTCTGCCTTACTGCGAGAACAGATACGTCTCATGATAAAGTCGTCAGCAAAACAACACGAACAACGACATATTTCTTCTATAGTCACTAACCCCTTTCTAAACCTAATTGCAGAATGTCATCTGAAATCGAAAAATGAAGCAGTTTAAGGTTTTCTGAATGCCTTGAATTATCAAACTAGTTAGTTTTAGCTCCTTAAGAATGCTGAAGTGTCTACTTAAAACGGTTAAATTAGTTAGGGTCTGCTACTATATTAACAATATTGTTAGTGCTAAAAAGATGATTATCTAGGACTTTTTAAATTGTAACATGGTATTAAAGGTGTCGTTCGCAAAAAATCACTTAACTCGTATTATAATCCCTCTGATCTGGAAGATTACATGAAAATGCACACTTGCGAGGAAAAAGACACCCGTCGAGACTTTGGAATAGGTTTTAAAAATTATAATATTCATATCGGCATTGATAATCAAAAATATCTTAATCACTTTCAGAAGGATGACCAGACGTATGTCTCAGGGGATTTTTGTTGTTCTCGAAGGAGCAGATCGGGTAGGAAAAACAACACAAGCATCACTTCTAGCTAAAGCTTTGTCGGAAATCACACAAAGAGAAACTCTGTCTGTCAAATTCCCGGATCGTGATACTCCTCTGGGACATCACCTAGACTCGTATTTAAGTGGGAATGGTGATATTAATAAACACGCATTACACTTATTGTTCACTGCGAATAGGTGAGTTTTTTTAATGATGATTACTAATTCTATTGATATTTATGTTTATTTTATTTATTTGAACACATAAATATTGGTACAAGGAACCACCAGATAAATACGCGCCTCACAAATCTCATTTGATTTTTGTGAGGGCTGTGATAGTGCCCGGGTGCCCAGACTGAAGCAGGTTGTTTTCTTAAAGGGCCACACCCCGAGCCTTTGACCTGAAGGTCTAATCCACAAGGCAGTGGAGCATCGTGAGGAGGTGCAATCCCATGGTGGCCGGTGGCCAACGATTGGTTCATACGCCATTCGTTCCTTCAGGATACTGGAGCATTCCCATGTGCACCATTGGTTTGGAATCAGGGTTTTCCAACTCCCCTAGGTGAAATTTCCATGTCCACCAACCCGGTTAAATCGCCGGACATTCGCTTTTCATCCTCTCAATTTCGTAAACAACAGTAATGCCACGAGAAGGCAGTGAGTAGGACTTCCCTGGCAGAGGCTATATATTCGCGTGGCCATGTGATATCATTTGGAGAGGAAGAGCGAACTCTCCCCACTCTCGGCCGTACCAGGGCATTTGTGGGCTGATATTTATGTACTTAAACCAATTACCACGGATCGTTACTTGGTTTTTACTCGATTATATTTATCTTCCTGATAGTAGATACGCATGTGCGTGTAAGCATGGATTAATTAAAAGAGTGACTACCCTAACTATGGTTGTTCAAAAATGTAATAGTATTAAACAAATGAAGCTTGCAACGAACATTAAAAATACAGTAGCTAGATGTTAAATCAGTTTGCATTATATGACAGCATGTTGCGTACAACTTTTCTTCAGTGTCAAACACAGCGGAACTTAATTTAGTACTATATATTCCGGGCTTTCAACAAATAATTACAATTTTAGTGAGAAACATTTGTCAATAACCTAGTACATGAGAGATTTCTTCGGATCTATCATAGTGTTTATAAAGAAATGGACCTTTTGCCACAAACTAATATTGCAATACCAATTGACCCCTAGTGATTCTAGTCCCAATCCTGCTTGTTATATAAAGCCGTGCATTCATAGATTGTCAGTCAGTCACAACGTAGAACTTCGTACGTAGTTACAATTCATAGATTGTAAACTAATACAACTCCATTAATTGAAGATTCTAATCGGATAAATCTCAAGTAGTAGTCTAGTTAAATTTTCCGAATTCACTGCTTGAATACGTTTGTAGTGTTCGTGATACGTTTGACAAAAGTATGGTCCAAATCACCCTACAATTAGAAGTTTAATTAAATTAACTACTTTTTTAATGCTACAATCGCTTTATATATTCTATTGTATCAGTATGTAAGTAGTATTCCATTACTTTTGGGGTGAGTTGCTTACTTGCATGGAACTACATAACTGTTTTCTTTAGGTGCCTTCCTTATTGTTTGTTAAAAGTCAGCATTTGTCCTCTGCTTCATTTATAATTCGATAGCTGATCGAATATTCTAGTAAATTAGATAGTCCACAAACAGGAAGTTCGTATACTATTACTACATATTTTAGACCTTTCATCTCAGGCTGTATATTCTGAGACCATCATTACTAATGTAATCTATAAGAATTCCAGCCAATACGTTTATTTATATCATGAAATTCCGGTCTTTTTCAGATGGGAAAGGCAAGCTGAAATTCGGAAAGCCATTTCAAATGGAATACCTGTTGTAGCAGACAGATATATATATTCTGGGATCGCTTACACAGCTGCTAAAGCTCCACCAACGCCAAACTGGGAATGGTGTTGGGAAATGGAAAAAGGTCTTGTAGAACCGGATTTGATAATATGTTTAACACCAGGAAATCTAGACGAATTGAGTTCTAGGAATGGTTATGGAGAAGAGCGGTATGAGAATGATGATTTTCAAAAGCGTGTTCTGGAGAATTATGTCCGGATTTCCAAAGATGTTGAATTAGATAATAAAGATAATGATAACGAAACTGATTCGGTTGGACTTTGGCATTTCATTCAAGCAACAGATAAAACTGTCGAAGAAGTGCATAAATGTATTATGGTACTTGTTAAATCTAAATTGGAATCGATTATTGGCCCAGAAATTCATGAATGTACAAATAAAAAAGATTAATAAATTCTGTCATTATGAATAAAAAAATTTTATTTGATGTTGCTTATTTATGAGATGGTGGAGAAGATTTGTAGCTCAGGTGGGTGATTTTTATGTTGGTTTGTTCTCTGAGCTGGATGGTTTGGTCGTGGAGCTTTCATCGTCCTACTGAACGACATCATCAGCACAAACTTAGGGTAGAAGTGAAGTGTTTGAATTTCTCCACATGTGATTCACAGCTTATCCTCTGCACCTCGATGTTGATTGGTTCTTATTGACCTTAAATCTGTCATTGTTTATTTCTTTGTTTTGATTTTTGTTCCTATGTTCCTGCATAATTTTCTTGATTGGTTGATAGATTGGATTGATTTCTTATTTATGGCATCACTGTTTCTATTGCAAAAGGCCTTTCCAAGACATGCATTCTCAAGTTGTGTTTATTTATTTATTTAAACACATAAATATTGGTACAAGGAAGCACCAGATACATATGCGCCACATAAATCTCATTTTATTTGTGTGAGAGCTGTGATACTGCCCAGGTGCCCAGACTGAAACAGGTGGTTTTCTTGGGGGGCAGATGCAGTCCCATGCTATCCGGTGACCAACGATTGGTTCATACTCCATTTATTCCCTCAGGATACTGGAGCCCATGTGCACCATTGGTTTGGAATCAGGGTTTTCCAACTCCCCTAGGTTTGGACTTTTCGTGTTCACCAAGTTGTGTTCACATTGATCAATACACTTGTGTAAATCAACTCGGTCCATTCTTTTGCTATAGTAGTAGTAGTAACTGTCATTAGTTAGCACAATGTTTTAAAAAAAAACAGGTAACAAGATCATAAGCAGTTGTGTCATGTAAATTTCATTCACTGGGACGTGATGCATTAAATACACGTTAAACGTTGATCGCGAATTACTTTAGTCATGTTTTCCGTTTGCAATACCAGAACACTATGAAACGTTCAGGATTCAAAAGAACAGGTTCACAAAGATTGGACGTCCAGAATTTAAAGTTCGTTTGTAATCAAATTTATAAACATTTCGGCAATCAAGATTAAACAGGTTTAGTGTTTCGCCCAGAAAACCAATATAAGTTTCTTATAAAAGTACGTTCATAACTACAATTATTTGTACTGCAGGTAGTAAGATCTCGATTGTTCTATGATAATCTTAAGTGGTACGCTATCATGGCACATTAGCAAAAAATCAATTTACAGAATCAAAGTTTTATGAAAAAACAATTGCAACTTCACTTTTATATCTTCATGATATTGACAAGCTTTTCAGCCTTCTAGATAACTTGATGTAAATCAATCAGTCAGTCACAACGTAGAACTTTGTACGTACGTACATCAGTTCGGGTTGCCATACCACATTAACACAGAGATCCAGTTGTCGATTCGAATCCCATAGTGGTAGAGGTAGTAAGAGTATAAGCAGTAATCCGAATGATTAGGGTTTGAAGATGTTATTGAAGGAGTATAATCCAGCGAAATAAATTTGAAAAGAGAAAAAGATAAAGACATGAGGAATTCAGAAGATTAGAATTTGAAAGAACACAAACAGTGGATGCACCTTCGCAATTGCAAACGAACCATGTCATTCAAGGTCTCTAACCATCGATCGCTATCATCTTGCGAATCCCAACCAGGTAGTCTACACCTACCTATCAAATCTTGTAGTTGAATTAGCTTTTCCTAATTGTAAGAATTACTCACTGTATCCTGATTACATAAGCTTTGTTATTAACTTACGTGTGCGGCTATCCTAATAAAGAAAACCTAAAATTAGGCACAAATGTATATTGGTCCGAAATACCATGTTGCAAATCTCTTAAAAAACGCAATATAATATAAAGTGGTTCAACAGAAAAATGCCTCGGCTTTTCTGTTCTTAAAAGTGCGATTGCGGTCTAATCCACAATACAGTGGAACAACGTAAGGAGATGCAGTCCCATGGTGGACGTTGACCAACAATAGGTTCATACGTCATTTGATTCCTCAGAATCCTCGAACTCTTGTGAATCATTGGTTCGGAATCAGGATTTTCCAACTCACTTAGGTGGACAGCCCGTGTTCACACACCCTGTTAAAGCGCCAGACATCCGCTTTCCGTCCTCTCAATTCCGTGAAAAAAACCCAATCGTGAGAGCGTTGGTAGAACCACACTGTCTCTATACGCGTGGCTGTGTGAGAGCATTTCAAGAGGGAGAGCGAACTTTCCCTCTCTCAGTCGTACCAGGGCTACCAAAAAAACTAATTTTACACTCAGATAACAGCCAGTTTTGGAAGTGAACCTGTCGAGAAGCATTTCACTAGTTTTGAGAAAACATTTTTGTGATTGGCATGTGTCCTTTAAAAAACGATTCACAATGACTTGATCTACGTTAATTATGCAAATTAAGATACGTCCGACTGATTATCTCAACGTTTCCAACTACATGCGATCTCTTGGAGTCTAACAAAATGTTCATGCGTTCCTAGCGCTATATTTCTGAAATGGTACAGTGAACTAAGAATGTATATGAACATGACAAACGTATGATAATACTTGATGTCGAAATGCAGTCTACACATCCCATCTTAGGGAGCTATCTGTTTTCTAAAGTGATTTGGAATACATTTTGCAAAACTGACCTCTAACAATCGAATCTACTCATGATATGGATTAAACACTCAAAAATATCAAGGAGCCGGTAGTAAAACCCGGTGAACAGTCAATAATTTTAGAATACAGAGGGGCCCACTTTAAACGTCTGGTTGAAAGATTCACGAAGTTAGGTTCCCATTCAAACGGGAATTAATTGCTTATTTACTGTACCACTACAATTGACTAAAGTATGTACCAAAATCTGCAGACAAAAATGTGACAAGGTTTGGTTCAGCGAATTTTCTTTAAAAAGTGCAAAGTCGCAACAACTCAGTTTCTTAAATGACGGTCATTAATGTCTGTTAATAAGAAGTTTGCTAAACATAATAACTGCTGTGAAAATGAATTCACCCAAAGGAGGGGTTCCTCAGACAAAATTCCTTGTTTTTGCTCTAGCGGGTACATTTTGTTTAATTAAAAGTATGAAGCACAAACCTCACGGAATTATTATTTCTTTAAATAGTAAAAGTGAGACGTACGGACATCGACTTCAAGGGGAACATGCTCGTGAGAATCTCAAACCTACTACTGCATGCGGTTAATGTTTACAAACTATCATCTCACAAATCTAGTCACTTCAATGTGCATTTTATCACTATATCTGTTTCTGCGGAGCAAAGCATACTGAGCACTTAAGGTTCAGTTATACCACATTTCATGATTTAAGAAAACGGGCAACAGCTGATGCAACGATAGAAGTATGTTAACAGGACACCTAGTTACCACTATGCATTCCACTAAGATAGTCACTAAAACATACATCTATGGTGTAGTAATTATTAAAGATTAATTGCCAGTTTTAGTGAAAAGTCAAGTTCGTATGTAAATAGCATTTAATTGTAAAAATGCTATCTTTTTACATCATAATCATAAAATAATATAAAGTGAGTACAATGAATAACTGAACCGAAGGACTCCAAGCTGGTAGAGGAAATCAGAGAATACCATAAGATGGACAAAGGATAGTGTAAAGTAAGCTTTCTTTTTTGGAAAAGTATAAAAACAAACTTTGTACAAAACACTTTTTAAACAAATTAAGGTTTCCAAAGTTTTAATAAACCATCTTCTGCATATGTTGCTAATAAATTCTGATGTGGATGATGTGCACAACCGATTATACTTTTATCATGAACCTAAAAAAAAGCATGAAGAAAATAAATAATTTTAAATATATATCGTATTATATAGGCGCGACTACGGACAATCAACATGACTCCATACTCTAACAACAAATATCATGCGATAACTACTGCCTAGTTTTGAGAGGAAATTCCTGGAGTTCTAGTGAGATGCTTTGACTAGTGGAGTTTAGTCCTGCTGGATGTGAGAAAGGTACAATGGAAGATGGTCGCACAGTATCGTGAATTGATTTGTACACCTTTGAATCCCGGTCCAGTGGTTTGGACGTTAAGAGTTCTTGAATGAGACCGAAAGTTCTTAGCTTGATTCCCGGATGCGGGTTCGTGGGTGAGCACTCCCAGAGAGTCCCATACTAGCACGAAACAGATATTCGATGCTTCTTGTTTCTTAGTGGTTTTATAACCTAGGTGGTGATTTAGATAAAACTCTACAACCCCATTTACTTACTTACTTAGGCCTGTTACCCCTCGTTGAGGAGCATAGGCCGCTCACCAGCATTCTCCATCCAACTCTGTCCTGAGCCTTCCTTTCCAGTTGTTATTCATCCTTTTCACATCTGCTTCTATTTCCCGGCGTAATGTGTTCTTTGGCCTTCCTCTTTTCCTCTTCCCTTCATGATTCTAAGTTAGAGCTTGACTCGTGATGCAGTTTGACCATTTCTTTAATGTATGTCCGATCCACTTCCAACGTCTTTTCCTAATTTTCTCATCAGCTGGAAGCTGGTTTGTCCTCTCCCATAAAACGCTGTTGCTGATAGTATCCGGCCAGTGAATGTTGAGTATTTTGCGTAGACAACTGTGTAGTACCAGTTCATATGTTAGGCCCATATACTTTATTCTAGTTACTGGCCAAGCCAATTCACCTGTACATTGAGTTATTTGTTCTTCCTTTTTTTTCCATTGCCCTACAGTATTTCAAGTAAGCACTTACCTCATGATTCTATCCACTCTGTTTGTAGCCTTTCTAAGATTACTTTCTTTCTCAAGTCCAGCTAAAGAAGAATGATTAAATATGGGGTTGGCAACTGTAGTACCAGTTCATATGTTAGGCCCATATAGTTTATTCTAGTTACTGGCCAAGCCAATTCACCTGTACATTGAGTCATATTTTGATCTTGTTAATCATTTGCTTATTAATCTTGAGTACTATTTATATGAGCGCATATGTGTACACTTCGTATCTTATTCATCATATGTCTGTCACTCATTTTTGCCTGCCTATAAATGTTAGTTAACGCTTGCTTAAAATGAGTTGGCTTCCCAGCCA